CTCAGGATTTGGAGTGGATTTTGTGGGAATTCTCAGGATTGGGGATGGATTTTGTGGGAATTTCCGGGATTTGGGGTGGATTTTGTGGGAATTTCTGGGATTTGGGCTGGATTTTATGGGAATTTCTGGGATTGGGGCTGGATTTTATGGGAATTTCTGGGATTGGGGATGGATTTTATGGGAATTTCCGGGATTGGGGGTGGATTTTATGGGAATTTCTGGGATTGGGGATGGATTTTATGGGAATTTCCGGGATTTGGGGTGGATTTTGTGGGAATTTCTGGGATTGGGCTGGATTTTATGGGAATTTCCGGGATTTGGGGTGGATTTTATGGGAATTTCCGGGATTTGGGATGGATTTTTTGGGAATTTCCGGGATTTGGGGATGGATTTTATGGGAATTTCCGGGATTTGGGGTGGATTTTTTGGGAATTTTCAGGATTGGGGGTGGATTTTATGGGAATTTCCGGGATTTGGGATGGATTTTATGGGAATTTCCGGGATTTGGAGTGGATTTTATGGGAATTTCCAGGATTTGGGGTGGATTTTATGGGAATTTCTGGGATTTGGGGATGGATTTTATGGGAATTTCTGGGATTTGGGGTGGATTTTATGGGAATTCTCAGGATTTGGGGATGGATTTTATGGGAATTTCTGGGATTTGGGCTGGATTTTATGGGAATTTCTGGGATTTGGGCTGGATTTTTTGGGAATTTCCGGGATTTGGGCTGGATTTTTTGGGAATTTCCGGGATTTGGGGTGGATTTTATGGGAATTTCTGGGATTTGGGGTGGATTTTATGGGAATTTCTGGGATTTGGAGTGGATTTTATGGGAATTTCTGGGATTTGGGGTGGATTTTTTGGGAATTCTCAGGATTTGGAGTGGATTTTGTGGGAATTCTCAGGATTGGGGCTGGATTTTGTGGGAATTTCCGGGATTTGGTGGCTTTGGGGTGGGTTTTGGGGCTCTTTTGAGGAGTTTTGTGCCCCCAGAGCCTCGGGGGGCTCCACTTGGCCCACGTCAGGCACGGGGGGCTTTTCTTCGGGGCCAGCACCGAGGGCGGCGCCTCCCCCTTCACCATCGTCGAGTTCCTCAACAGGTGAATCCCAAATTCCCGCAATTCCAGACTCTGGGACAG